ACTGGGTAAATGAGCATTTGGCGGTGGAAAGAGGCCATTGTATGGCATCCGAGCTGGCGCACAGCTTGCGCATGTCCCCAAGACCCAACACGGCACCACGCCCCGCACCCGGTTACGCCCTTGTCCTGCATTCCACCTGCCAGCCTGTCTGTGCAACACAGCGCATGGCGGGCAGGCCAACGAAGCCATACCAAAGTTTCGTTCAAGACGTCCCAAGCTCTCAGAATCCCAGGCTGCCAGGCTCCCAGGCACATAGGCTGCCAGGCACAAAGTCTCTTAGAATCCCAGGTTCCCAGGCTCCCAGGCACACAGGCTCCCAGGCACACAGGCTCTTAGAATCCCAGGCTGCCAGGTTGCCAGGTTCCCAGGCTCCCAGGCACACAGGCTCCCAGGCTCTTAGCATCCCAGGCTGCCAGGTTCCCAGGCTGCCAGGTTCCCAGGCTCCCAGGCACACAGGCTCTTAGAATCCCAGGCTGCCAGGTTCCCAGGCTGCCAGGTTCCCAGGCTGCCAGGTTCCCAGGCTCCCAGGCACACGGGCTCTTAGGATCCCAGGCTGCCAGGTTCTCAGGCTGCCAGGCACACAGGCACACAGGCTCTTAGCATCCCAGGCTGCAAGGTTCCCAGGCTGCCAGGTTCCCAGGCTGCCAGGTTCCCAGGCTGCCAGGTTCCCAGGCTCCCAGGCACAAAGGCTCTTAGAATCCCAGGCTGCCAGGTTCCCAGGCACAAAGGCACAAAGGCTCTTAGAATCCCAGGCTGCCAGGTTGCCAGGTTCCCAGGCTCCCAGGGACACAGGCTCCCAGACTCTTAGCATCCCAGGCTGCCAGGTCCCCAGGCTCCCAGGTTCCCAGGCTGCCAGGTTCCCAGACTCCCAAGCACACATGCCCTCAGAATCCCAGGCTTGCAGGTTCCCAGGCTCTCAGAATCCCAGGCTCCCAGGCACACAAGCTCTCAGAATCCCAGGCTGCCAGGCACACATGCTCCCAGGCACACATGCTCTCAGAAACCCAGGCTGCCAGGTCCCCAGGCTCTTAGAATCCCAGGCTTCCAGGCACACATGCTCTTAGAATCTCAGGCTCACAGGCACACAAGCTTTTAGAAAGCCAGGCTGCCAGGTCCCCAGGCTGCCAGGTCCCCAGGCTGCCAGGTCCCCAGGCTGCCAGGTCCCCAGGCTGCCAGGTCCCCAGGCTGCCAGGTCCCCAGGCTCCCAGGTCCCCAGGCTGCCAGGTCCCCAGGCTGCCAGGTCCCCAGGCTGCCAGGTCCCCAGGCTCCCAGGTCCCCAGGCTGCCAGGTCCCCAGGCTGCCAGGTCCCCAGGCTTACGGGCACACAGACTCCCAGGCACACAGGCTCTCAGAATCCCAGGCTCCCAGGCACATATGCTCTCAGAATCCCAGGCTGCCAGGTTCCCAGACTCTTAGGTTCCAAGGCTCCCTGGCTCCCAGGTTCCCAGGCTCTCAGAATCCCAGGCTCCCAGGCACACAAGCTCTTAGAAAGCCAGGCTGCCAGGTCCCCAGGCTCCCAGGTTCCCAGGCTCTCAGAATCCCAGGCTCCCAAGCACACATGCTCTTGTCCCCAGGCTCCCAGGTTCCCTGGCTCTCAGAATCCCAGGCTCCCAGGCACACATGCTCTCAGAATCCCAGGCTGCCAGGTTCCCAGACTCTTAGGTTCCCAGGCTCCCAGGCTCCCAGGTTCCCAGGCTCTCAGAATCCCAGGCTCCCAGGCACACAGGCTCTTAGAATCCCAGGCTGCCAGGTTCCCAGACTCTTAGGTTCCCAGGCTCCCAGGTTCCCAGGTTCCCAGGCTCCCAGAATCCCAGGCTCCCAGGCACACATGCTCTCAGAATCCCAGGCTGCCAGGTTCCCAGACTCTTAGGTTCCCAGGCTCCCAGGCTCTCAGAATCCCAGGCACACAGGCCCATAGAATCCCAGGCACACAGGCCCATAGAATCCCAGGCTTCCAGGCACACAGGCTCTTAGAATCCCAGGCTTCCAGGAACACAGGCTCTCAGAATCCCAGGCTGCCAAGCTCCCAGGTTCCCAAGCTCCCACACTCCCAGGTTCCCAGGCTCTCAGGTTCCCAGGCTCTTAGAATCTCAGGCTCACAGGCACACAAGCTTTTAGAAAGCCAGGCTGCCAGGTCCCCAGGCTGCCAGGTCCCCAGGCTGCCAGGTCCCCAGGCTCCCAGGTCCCCAGGCTGCCAGGTCCCCAGGCTGCCAGGTCCCCAGGCTGCCAGGTCCCCAGGCTGCCAGGTCCCCAGGCTGCCAGGTCCCCAGGCTGCCAGGTCCCCAAGCTCCCAAGTCCCCAAGCTCCCAGGTTCCCAAGCTCCCAGGCTCCCAGGTTCCCAGGCTCCCAGATTCCCAGGCTCTCAGAATCCCAGGCTCCCAAGTAAACATGCTATCAGAAACCCATGCTTACAGAATCCCAGGCGCCCACGCTCCCACGTTCCCAGGTTCCCAGGCACACAGGCTTTTAGAATCCTAGGCTTACAGGCACACAGGGTCCCAGGCACACAGGGTCCCAGGCACACAGGGTCCCATGCACACAGGTCGGCGGTCCAAGCCTGGCCCCAAACCGCCAGATAAATATGCTCCTACATCTAATTGACTTAGCCGAATGCTAGTTTTAGCTTTGTTTACATTTCATGCATTTGCTGGCTCCTAGCGCTTGCATCGATGTAGCCCCCAGTATAGCACATTGCATTACATTATCCATGAAAAGATTATAAAACTTTAATTCACTATAAGCTCAGCAAATTGCAAGGGTAAAGGGCTCATCTGGACGCAGTTTGCATGCCGTGCTGCCGGCTTGAGCAAGGAATCTCTGCGCGCGCTCCACGCCCGCGCGCGCCGCGAGCACCAGGATAAACTACAACAAAATGTCTTTTGCTTCGTGCAAAAATATGATGGTATGTGTTGGTATGTGTGCCCGGAAAGCTGTGCCGGACGGTCGACCGTCCGGCAGACCGTCCGCCATGGACGGCCCCACCGTCCGCCAGGGGGGGTATATGAACCACACATAACATTACACATAACATTACACATAACATTACAGATGAGCGTTTACAGTCACAGGCTAGCCCTGAGACTGAATTATTGTGTCATCGAACTGATGGAGATCACTAGTCCCAGGGACTGTATGACATAGCTGGAGTAAGGGGCCGGTACAACAAGTGTCAATGCGGGTGCTCACCACCACTTGCGCCAAGCACAAACGTACCAGTCTGAGAGAATGATGATGAGAGACACGCAGAAGGGCTTTTTAAGGCTAGCAGGCTTTAAGACCCAAAAAATTTGCAACACACGCTCACCTGTTGGCCAATCCCAGGTCTCAGGCTCAGTATGATTGGCTGTCTGTCAACCACAGGTTTCTGGGCGGGGTCTACCTGTCAGCCAATCCCATGTCTCTCGACACATCCAGTCTCACCGGAACTTTCGGAGGAGTACGGAACACCCGCGGACTGAACACCTATGGGGCCTATGTTTGAAGATTTCTGCTCTTTATCTTTTCTTCTAAAGATAAAGATTTCACTACCCTTCGTGAAACTTGTCTTCGCTGCTCCTCTTGTGACCTAAAAGTTCCAAGGATCTAATGGATGCAATAGAAAAAGACGCGATAAAGACGAAAATCTGTAAGGTTGACGATGAAATAAAGGCCGTCAATGAACAGATAGCGGCGTGCATAGACAAGAAAACTTTAGCATACTTACGCAAGAAGGCGGAGCAGCTACGCGACGAGAAAAAGCAGCTCCGGGATGAGAAACTCATTTTGCTGCGCGACGGTGTTTGTGTCAACGCATATGCTTGTGGCCATGGCGAGGCTTGCGCAGACCCGGGGGTCACTGCATACCATGCATGGTCATCGTCTCGGTGGAGGAGTTTAGGCGCTTCAAAACTTAGGGTTTTGCATGTTGCCTTTGTAAACTTGCGCTTGAAGCTAGCTTGGGTTTTCAGAATGCTGCCTGGAGATTGCCACTGCATGCAAGCTCCCATGCCTCGAGAGGCCTTTTCAGCGGCCAGCTGCTGCATTTGGTATCGAGACCTCGTGAAATTTTACGATCCTGAAGTCGTCGTTTTAACCCCCACCAATCATACTTGAGCGGAATATCGGGTTTGGCGACTCAGTGAGCGTTTATCGCTAAAAACGAAATGTAGCTGAACCGACTGGACTGTCTCCATGCCTGAAAAACCTGATGGCTAGGCGCATGAAGAAGCACATGACGTGACGTGGGCTTGGACACCCCACTGCTCGAGGGTAGGTGAAGGTAGGCACAGGCTGGTGGTATACGAGGCTCTAAGGGCCCGGGACGGATCCCTTCAAAAGGGGGGGAATGTAGCCAGCCGGTACACAGTACGGCGCTATAAATACGTGTGTAGCGTGTCCACCAGCATCTCGAGAGGCCTTTTCAGCGGCCATATCCCGTAGGATTTTGGTTGCTGTTTGAGATCCCGTACAATTTTAGAGTTTGATGATTTTTGTGACATTTCGTCAGTCCCCGTCTGAGATGGAGGACTTTGTTTTTACTCAGCTGGTAGACTTCTTGCCTGCCCGGGCATCCACCTTTGGGGTAGGAGTATGCTGCATCATGCCTGGTGTGCGATATGTTCGCAACCAGATTCAATCCGGGGAGTTCCCACCTCCTAGCAATTTGCACCAATGTTACACCAGGCAAAGAGTACTCAGTTGGGAGATGCCAGGGGAGCTGATCCCTCTTACATTTGCTTTTTAAAGCATCAGCGTATTCAGTGAGCGTGAGCATTTTTCTTTAATTCGCTTTTGTGGAAGGGCCACCAGACTCTTCTGACTTTGTGCATACCAAACACCATGTCCATAGCTTCTTCTGCAGTGGTTTTTGACATGAATGCCACACGCTTCTTTGCTACACAAAAGCTACACCATGCTGCATATATGCAGCATGGTATATACCATGCATGGTCATGGTCTTCTGAACCGTTAGTAAGCTGTGTGTTCCTTTACAATTAGCATACCCCTGCTATTCATGACAAATGACCTACCTGCGTATTGCACCCTCTTTTTCCATGATATGCAGCTGCGGGACAGTAGTTGCCCGCCACTGGCTGCCAGCTGCACCAAAGCTGGCAGCCTTGGTGAGTCAGACCTCATTTTTACATTACTTCTTGTTACATTACTTCTTGGAGCTGAATGCTTTGGTTCCTCATTTCTTAACATTAGATAGTGAAGCGCTAACAGCCTTGGCAGTTTTGTGCCTCTGGCTGCAGCTGCCTACCTGCACTCAAGGAAGGCTCAGGATCGGCCGAGGAAGACTTGGATAGCTTTACATGCACATGTTGAAACTGGGCTTCTGCACTGCATCCGTGTACATGCAACATGTGGATGCCAATTAACCCTAGTCCCCTCCATTACACCTCCATGTTGTCGCTTGACAACATCACGAGGCTGAATACTGCTGTGCTGGATCTCATCATATGGTGCTGCCCTGCCCAGATGATTGTGCTTGGCGACTGCAATGATGCTGTGGACCTGTACAGGGAGGCTCTGCTCTTTCCTGGACCTTCTACCATGGGCCACCTGCTCATGCAGCATGGACTGAGGGTCAGCAGGCTGCTGTTTCCTAACCCTGCTGAGGGCAGCACGAGCCT